TGTGTACCAACTTCCTTTTAGGGTTGCATACAATATCCATTGGCCCAAATTATAATATGTAGGTTTTGTTGAGGGTGATTCGAATTTTAACTATTTGTAATTTGATTAAATTTGATTACTCTCTTCAGGACCTTAGATGTTTTATATTTATTGACTGATTGATCTAATATTGTAGGTTGTATGAGCTGTTAGTCCCATTGTATAAATACTTTAGAGGTGTAAGTTTTCTCCCCTATAGGATTTTGCATTATTATTAATGATATTTCTGGTAATCATCCCTTTATTGGGAGTAAAGTTTGGAGGTAAAAATAAAATATAAACTCCATATTGGTATCTTTGACTTTGGGATTTAATTTTAATTTAATATCCCAACTTTAAAACATGCCATTGCAGTACCTAAGCTCCCAAAATTGTTAATTTAGTTTAGTATTATTAAGGGAAGTTACAATGGGGTTATAAAGTTATCAGACTAGCTATTTCTTTCTCTTTCTTTTCTTTTTATTTATTTATTTGATAATAAGTGGAAGAGCTACACAAGACCGAGGGGTGGGGGGGTAACTTTTGAAAGGGCATGGGATGAAACAAGAGAGGGATTCCATCAATTAATAGAGTTTTACACGTCAGTGAGTCCACAGTTTGATTTTCCACCAAGCTCCAAAGCCTTTCTTTCTTTCCTTCCTCCTCCTCTGCATTATCACCATCATCATTATTATTATCCACTTAGAGGTTAGAGCTGAAGCTTGAAAAACATTGAAATACAATAGAAAAGTTGAGAATCTCAACTCTTTCAAGATGTTAGCCTTTCTTGGATTTGAATATTTCTGTTTGATATTCTTCAATATGCTAATGACTTTTGATAACAAAGAGCAATTAGAAAGTTCGCATGGTTTCTTTCCTTCCCTTGTTTTGGGTATTAAAGAGATCATGCATGATTTATTTCCTTCCCTAGTTCCTTTGCTTAGTTGTTGTTTTGTTTTTTGGGTCCATTCTTCTTCCCCATCACTTTGTTTCACCCTCAATGGCTGGACACCCAATCATTTTCTTTGTTGCGTAAAAACCTAATAAAAGCATATACGAATGGCACCAAAATTGAAAGTAAAACAGAAATAATGAGAAGAAAGCACAGAGAATACATAGATTTATATGGTTTGGCTTATAACCTACTACATTCATGAGCGAAAGAAAAATAGAAATCCACTATAAAGCCAGCAATGGATAAGAAATACAGAGTTGTGCACTCATAAAAAAACCCTAATCCTCAAATACACCCAATATCTCACCACAGGAGCATAGCCCTCACACCCCCAATGGTGATTTCTGGTGGAGTAGATTCATGAAACAGGTCACCACAAAGAATTCAAGGCACAAACGTAACATTCTTCAATGTCTTTGGTGAAGGTTTGGTTAGAGTGAAACTCTATTCTTCTCCGACAACCTTCTTTTCCTTTTGTTTCCATTTTTTCCCATGTCTACCTACCGCTTAGATCTGGTTGATTAGTTTTCATGCCATATTTTGTCATTGATGTGTGTGGGATTTCCATCTTTAAAACTAAAAGAATAAACATTGGGTTCCTAGATCTAACATTTCCATCTCATTTTTTTGCAAATTGAAGCCAAATCCAGCAATACATGTCTTCGAACCCACACTTAAGGTAATGTTTTCATCCTTTTTTTTTTTTTTAAATTGAAGCCATTTACTTTTGTTTTCATTTCATTTTGATTGTTTGATGATGTTGGTAACATGTTAGATTGGGATGATCCGAAGATTTGGGGGAGGGTTTCAAATCTGTATTGTTTCCTTGTTTAACAGAATAATGGAATTACTTCTTCTTTGTTTACTTATATTACTATTTTTCATCTGTATTGTTTCCTTGTTTAATATTACTATTTTTCATTTGTTTTCTTATATTACTATCTTTCATCAAACAAATGCATAAATGAGCTCTCCAATATTTTACTAGGTTTGAGTTTTATGTAGATACAATATAATCAATGAATTTTAACAATATCATACTTGATCAGACTTGTTATCTTCCTCTTCCCCTCTCTCGTCCTTGAACATTGTTCTTGTTGCCTAAAGGTTCTGTAATTATTTGTTTTGGGTTTGATGGTTTTAACAATGGTTTTAACAAAGATTGTAAGACAAAGTTTTCTATATTTTCTTAATGTACAAAAGAAACCTCCATTTAAAACATTCCATAGACCCCGCTTTCATCTCAAAGTATGTGAGAATGGCCTTTCTTTCTCAGCCACCTAATCCACGATCACAAATTGTTCAAGAACAACATGAATTCCATAAATAGGTGTCTTACCTCTCTCACTATCTATCTATCTATATATATATATATATATATATATATATATATATATATCTTGTAGAATTGTTTGTAGATCAATTGGAACTGGGGTAGTTCTTATTCCCATTCAGTCTGTTCGAATGCCCCTAGATCCACTCCCCTCGACCCTCTTTTGGGTTGTCTAAAGGTGAATGTAGATGCTACTTTTTCCTCGAAAAATGGTTATGTACAATTGCTTCATTGCTTGCATAATTAGACCTCAAATGTCTAGCTAAGAGGGTCTGCAAGTGTCTCTATGCTTTGTGATTCGGTGATAATGGCGTAAGTGTTGGCTTGTTCTTGGGATGCATGAAGGCTTCTAATTTTGGCAAAGCTAAGGTGATCTTCATCTTGGACTTGAAGGAAGCAGTCTCTGGCTCTCTGCTTTACATGCTTTCCTCGGTTCCACTTCGCTGGTTTCCTTCTCCCCTCTGGGTGTGATTTGGAAGGACATTAAAGTTTCTGTGGCTTCGTTTGAAACTTTTCTCATCTCCCAAGTTCCTCAATCTTGTAATTCCTTGGCTGACTATTTAGCTAAGGGTGTTAATGGACCCATCCAATTCAAAATCAATTTGGATGGATTGGACCAACAAGACATATTAGATTGGACCAATTCGGTCCAAAATATTTATTAGATTAGATTGGATCTGATTCGTCCTTAACAATTTTTTATTGGATTGGGTTGGATTAAGTGGTCCTTTGATATAAGATAAGAATATATGTGTCAATGAATCAGGTTTGACTTGAAACCAATATAAATCAAAATGAATTTGAACAGATTGGATGGTCCAGACATTGAATTGGATCGGTCCAAATTGATCCAAAACATTCATTAGATTATATTGGATCTGGTCCATTTATAATGGAATCCAATTGACAACCCTATATTTAGGCAAGCGTGTTATGTGGGAATTGCACCCTGACTCCTCTATCTCTATTTCTCTGTTAATATTGCTAATCAAGTTTGCTTTAATTATAAGAAAAGAAAAAAAAAAAGTGAACTTGAGTCAGATTTCAAGGTTAGATAAGCTTTGCTACACTTCAATAGCAATGAAATATAAGAAAACCAAACATTTTTCTCTCAATTATTTTCCCACAAAACAAACATAGGAGAAGGAAACTTCTTACAAATTTTCCTTGTATAACCGAAAAATGAAAAGTGGAAATTTCACACTTTTTCAATCCATCCTTTCCCATCCCACCCAAATTTTCTCACAAATCGAACGGAGACAGTAAGTAAGATCTCTATCAAAAATTCATTTGAAAATCTAGACTGCTGGAAATATTTGTGGCTTTGGTTGATTCTCTAACGGTTGTTGGGATTTTGTCCTTTCTGTATAAATGCAGAATTCAAGCCTATCACACGGTCTTGGCTAAATTTATGTCAACTTTTCCTATATTTTTGGGATGTGCAGAGAGTAGAGGAAATTATTAGAGTGGTAGATGCATGGTAGCAGTTGATTACCTTTTTGGTGGTTTTTTATTTTGTTTACAGAGTATGGTGATGATGGACGCCTTTGGCTGATTTAGTGCATCTCGCCATCTGATCCACCACCCACCATTCTGTTTTATCATCCACCTTCTTCAGCGTCTAAATTGACAAAGAGTTGGAAAAGATCACTGCTGCTCTGGTTCACTCTCATGGAAGAAGTCAACAAACAATGTTTTTTTTTCTCAAAGAATAATTTTGGAATTTTCAAATGTTTTAAATCAAATGTGATATCATGTATGTCATATAACTGATGGAATGCAAATGGTTAGATTAAAGTGTCAATTTTTTAGAGCTGATCAGGTACTGCAATGGTACATTTTAAAGTTTGTATACTAAAGTGAGAAAGTGAATATGGACACTCTCTTATTTGATTGTATATGATCAGATTGTTTATATGTTGGATCTATCATTAAAATTGGTTCGGATGTCATGTTTTAAATAAAGAGCTATGGTTTCAAGTTTCATACAAATTAGTTTAGTTCATTTTCAGATTTGATTGTAAGTCGCTTTTAATTCATTTTATTAATAATATATAGTATTTTGGTCATTATAGTTTAATTTATTAATGCTATATATAATGTTCAATATGTAAATTAACACAATCCAATGAATGAGATTCAATTTGGCAAGTTATATAAATGGATGTGGCCGGTAACTGTTGTAAACATGTATGAAGAAATTGAACTTAAATATTTGAAGCACATCAAACCACTGTAGAGGACTGCAGGATGAACAAAATGCAAAACCTAAGTTGTTAAATGAAGTTGCAAGCTGAAAACTATGATGTATCGTGCCACTTGGTCATTGTCTTTAAAATAAACTGTATTCATCCACTATGGTACAACTAGGTTCTTTTGTACTGGTTTTTAAGGTTTTTGTGCAAATTTATTTGTACTATTGCAAAATAATGATAGTACAAATGATTTGAGTGTAGATTCTGATTTATTTTTGTTTCAAATTTTATCTTTTTCTTTTTTTTGGTAGCAGAACAAATAAAGTGAAATAAGACCTGAAGCAGAAAAAAGTAAAACCTAAAACAAAATTAAACAGAAATTGAATTCTTTTCATTTGCACTCCTACACATCTGTACTAATTCAAATAAAATTACAGCACAACCAAAGGCAGCATAAAATACAAATAAAACAAGAACCTAGAGAACCTTTTGAATGCTTTCATGGTCCCTCAAAATAAGCTTTTATATAAAACAAGAACCTGTAGAACCTTTCATTGTACCAATTAATGCATGAATCAACAACTCCGTAATACTTTCTGCGCCAGCTCCTGCTGATAAGAAGAGGAAGAATGATAGCCCAAAAGCCAACTGCATAAAAAATAGCCACACAGGAGAAGAAAAACAGGTCTCCATCCATAAATCTTGATTCTCTTTCTCCAATATTGCTATTGTTGTCTTGTGGTGAAAGGATGGATGGCAATGAACAATTGACTAGCAATGGTGGCCCACAAAGCTCTGAGTTTCCAATATAACTACTTTCAGTGAAAGTTTGAAAGTTATCTGTATATGGGATCTTGCCTGACAGATGATTGAAGGCAACACTGAAGGTAGATAAGGAATGGAGTTGAATTATTTGAGGAGGGATATTTCCTACTAAGCTGTTATGAGAAAGATCCAAGCTCTCCAACTGTTGAAGCTTTTGAAAGGAAGTGGGAATATGGCCTGTTAGAAGATTATTGGACAGATTTAATGAGTGAAGTGCTATCAAATCTCCTATTTCAGTTGGAATACTGCCCGATAGTCTGTTTACTGACAGGTCCATTCCAGTCATGTAGATGCGAGGTTCACCTTGGTAGACGTATGTGTTGTGCTTTGTGAAAAAAGTAATTTTGTAATCGCCAGATATAACTTTTCCATACTCACCATCTGACCCTACATAAAATGGAACCACTGTCTTCCATGAGGTAATATTGTGGAGACAAGAAGGTATGCTCCCAGAGAGATGGTTATGTGAAAGATCCAAGGTATGTAATTGTTGCATTTGGCACAGTGACACTGGAATGGGACCTATAAGATCATTTCCTCTCAACAGAAGAGAACCCGAGTTAGGGAGTATGGGCAGCCAATTTGAAAAATAACCTGACAACTGATTCCTACTTAAGTCTAGTACTTGTAAAGATGGAACACTAGTGGAGGCATTGAAGAAAATGGACTCTGTGAACATATTGCCATCAAGTTGTAAATTAGTTAGTTTGGTCATACCGAAAAATTTTGGAAAAGCACGCAACTTGTTTCCTGACAAGATCAACTCTTGCTAATTAGTGTTATTTTGGGTTAGTCCTTTGGGTACCACACCTATGAAGGCATTGTGAGACAAGTCTAGTGTTTCCACCAAGTTGCCAAATGAGGGAGGAATGCTTCCTCCAAGTCGGTTCATGGACACGCTAAGGAATTCCAACTGTGGAAAGAGACCTTTAATGTTTGAAGGAAGGTGTCCTTGAATTTGGTTGTTTGAAATGTCAAGAATAGAAAGGTTTGACGTTTCATTTTGAAGAGGCATGGGAAAGTGGCCACTTAGAAAGTTATCACTCAATGACAATAAATCAAGTCGAGTGTTATTGTACAACAGTTGGAAAGGAATGATGGGAATGATATAGCGGCTGCCTTTATTGATGGTTTTGCAGTTTTCTAGATTTAAATTTCTCAATTGGAAGGATGGAACCCAATTTGGTAGCTCAGTCTCAATCTCCAGTAGGACATTGTTTGCAAGGTCAATAGTTTTTAGTTTAGAAAGATTAGTAAGATTGTGGAAGGAGAAAACTCCATCCAAATGATTTTCATAAAGATGCAGCTCTGTCAAGTTCCGTAGTTCCCAAATCCCTGCAGCAAGGCGAAGAAGCTCTGTCAAGTGCTGTAATTCCCATATCCCTCAGAAGTAAGTATTTAGTCATTCTATGATGACAACTGCGGCTTCAACGTTGATTCTTAATTTTTATAAGTTGAATATATATAAATGATCTGGATCCACCATGAAATGGTTATTGCCTATCATGTTATTTATCCAAAAAATAGTGACATCACATCACATTTAATCATAAAATTTTATAAAATATTTTTGTTCTGATGCCATTAATGGAATACATATATTTGAAAAAAATTTAATTATTCTCATTTGAAAAACAGAGACTTTTGTTTACCACACTCACAGCATAGCTTTTGCACAAAATTTAAGCATATGGTTGTTAATTAAATAGTATCAATAAACAATAGCTTTTGCACAAAATTTTGCACAAATAGCTTTTGCACAAAATTTAAGCAAGTTGCTAAAAATAGTATCAATAAACAATATCATCATCCTTATGTTAATTAAATATAATTATTAATTAATTTCTAATAAATCTTTTCTTTGCAGCAGCAGCACAGGTATCTACCATTTAACAGTTCTGAGAGTAGAATAATCGCTGTAAAATCTTATTTTAAATGAAGAAGATACTTCAAGTCCAAGCACATGTAGGAATGGCAATGGGGCGGGTTTAGGGCGGGGATTACATTCCCCATCCCCGACCCCGGCCCCCAAATCACCCCCCATCCCTGTTCCCGATCCTCGACGAGAAAGAAACCCCCCTCCATGCCTGACTCCGGCAGGGCCTGTCAAAGACCCGAATCCTCGAGGATTTAGCCATTAACAAAGCAAAAATGGCATTGCGAGTCTAAGAGACTGAGAGAAAGAAAGACTGAGACTGAGAGAGAGAAAGAGAGGACCATTGCGAGTTGAGGCCGGCGACAAGAGAGAGTCCGACGAGCGACGATGATAACAGATTGGTAGTCTGAGAGACTGAGATTGAGTTGCGGTTCTTTCTTCTTTGAGTATCTCTTTCCTCTGTCGAGACTCGAGTGGTAGACTCGTATTTGGCGACGATAGATGTTCGGCAATGTCCGATGTCCGACGGGCAAGTGGTGATAGCGACGACGGTCGGCGATTCGGTGACAAAGACGAAGGAAGAAGAAGACTAACTAGGGTTCACGGTTCAGACTTCTTTGTTTGTGTCTGTCGAAGACTCTAACCTCTGAGTGTTTGTGTTTTTTAAGTTTTAATCTTTAAAATAAATGGATAATAATATAATATAAATATTATATAAATAATATCAATATTATATATTATATTGTAGATAATTATATATTTATTCATCAAGGCAGGGATTGCATTTCCCATCCTCGTCCCCGAACCTAATTGGAGTTTCAGGGGTAGCTCCATCCTCGACCCCGTCAGGGATGGAGAAAATTGCCACCCCTAAGCACATGTTGCACAAGCCCGGATCTACTCCTCACAGCCCGGCGCCTCAAAACATCCTCACAAAATGTGAGGATGCCACGCGTCCTCAAACCCATGTGAATTCTATACACGAGTGGAGGAGCCTAACAGTTGTTAGGCCTCCATTCCGTTAGTCACCCTCCCACCCCCACTCCCCTACCCAAGTCTTATTGGGCATTTTCTAGATTTCTATTCAATTCTCGCTTAAAGCCCTTGCTTCTCCTTTTTTCTCTCTGGCAATGAAAGAATGAAACCCTAATGCCCTCCACCAATTGTAGTGTTTTTTCCAGTGGCTGGCGATCTCACCGGAGAGAATAGATTCCGAAGACAATACCCTATGGTCATTGATGAAACGAAACTCCAGCAATTCTGCTTATTTCTCCTTTCTTGCCCAAACTCTCATCCCTATTCAACTACAACATTAGTTAATTCAGCATCTACGCCTATGCTGAATTCAACAACCTACAAATCTCGTTCTTGTCGAGATAGTAGTTCTCACATTGGGAATAGAACCTCTAGAAGAATTAAATGTGAATCCTCAACCTGTTACTTGAGGAGATTCCGTGTATCCACCATCTTCTATGCTTAAGTGCAATAGTAATATGTTAGCAGACTAGATAGTTGTTTCAACCAAAGCAACTGCCTCTTCATTTGGGACTATAGGAGTTACCAATCAGGGACTGTCAAAGGGGCAACATGCCTATTATTTGAAGCAACATGAAAGGTTAGCTGCCGGAAATGCTGACCATGCAAAAACACCTTCCCATATGGATGATAAAATAACTGAAATCTTCAAATCAGGTTTCTGATATACAATCACATGATCCATCAATCAAAAACTCATCTTCAAATATGAAATAGGAGTCCTCTAAATTAAAAAAACCAGAGCTGTAAGTGCTAAAGGGACATCTAGCACTCGTAAAAGGGATTTATGATCTTGACTTATTCTTTAAAATAAATGGGAATCTCTACTAGAAGTTTAGAAAGATTGGGAGTGGAGGAAGCAATGAGGTTTACAAGGTCATCTCATCCAATTGTACAATCTATGCCCTTAAAAGGATCAAGCTTAAAAGTCATGATTATTTTATTGCATATGATTTATTTTTTCAAGAGATTCAATATCTAAAGAAGCTAAAGGGAAAGAACAACATCATACAACTTATCGACTATGAGATACAAAACTTCTAATCATACAATGTGCTTCTCAATTAAGTATCTCATTAATGCAATAACAGTTATACATTAGAAAAGATTTTGCTGCTGAGTCGCTTACAACTTCTCATCAAACTAATAGAAAAGAACCCGGCCAAGAGAAAGCTGATAACCCAAGAGCAGTTGTTCATGAACTAGTAATTATGCAACACTAAGAAGATGAACAAAGGCTTAGCATTTGTTCATGAACTAGTAAAAAATACAATCTATATGTAAACTAATTATTCATAACGTCAAAAATAGTCATTCGAGCTACGAGAGATTATAGTCACTCCAATTAGAAGTTTTGGCTTACGAACAAAGTAAAAATCAGTCCAATAAGAATTCAAATTGTTTGAAAGTGATGATGCTCAGATTGCTCGAGGACAACATAGTAAATTTGCTTAACTTCCTGGACTGGCTGGCTAGCTGAAGGAGCTAAGGGTTGCCAAGGCGGAGGGCTAGGGGAGCCCAAGGTGTGTTGTGGCCAAGGGCTGGCAAAGGTTGCTCGAGGTTGCCTGAGTTCGGCCAAGGTCTGCTGACGTCGACCAAGGTCAGTCGAGTGCCTACAAGGAAGGGAACATCAAAGGCCCGAGTGATAACCCGAGGTAGGGACTCCGACGGTCCTGTTAATGAGGGCATAGCAAAAAGGGCAGGCAAGGTCTCAGGAGCTCGGACGAGGTCGCCAGAAAGCTAGGGAGCAAGAGAGTTTGGAGAGGTGAAAGTCTGGTGGCCAGATAGAGACCCGTTACCTTGGGGGAGGCATGCCCTATTTATAGTTGAGGTCACCCATAGGCAGATGCATGTAGACGGTTAGGATGCGATTCGGCCCTGACAAGGTGGTCATCCAAGCTCGTCGTGTGGGGTCGCGCCATTGGTCCTACGTTAGGAGCCGAACTCCGCCCTGCTGGACACGCTGATTGGCTACACTCTTGGCCACATGTTGACACACCAGTGGCCTACCAAAGGCGCCAACATCATTTTCCCCCCACTCTCGAGGCCGTGGTGGAGGTCTTAGCTGAGGACCTCGGCTTCAGCCGAAGAGAGTGTCATTCTTGTTGGGAGGTGCTGAGTGGCCTTATACGGTGAGGACCTCTGTTGTAGCCAGGTTGGAAAGAGCGGTCTTCAAGCGTAGAGGTGCTGGTGCCAACTTTGTAGCTGCCAAGGATAGCCCCGTTCGGGAGTGTGGAGATGTCGGCTGCGGTTGGGGCCTTATCGGTGGTAGTTCGGCCCATGAGTGTGCAAACATCATCCTCGGCTTCGAGGGGATTCCACTAGCTATTGTGCTGATTCCACTCCTTGAGGAGGTTGTGGAGGGCTGAAGAGCGCAGAGGCATTGGCCTAGAATCCAAAGAGCTCGGTACTGTGTTTCCTATGGGTACGAGACATGCCTGCTCCCCAGTCATGTACTTCCAATGAGTTGATGAGTCCGTGCGCGGGCCAGGTGTCAGCTTCTAGCTGATCACCACCGTGTGAGGTGTACACGACGAGTGAGTGTGCCGTAACAACACACCAACAAATTCCGGCATCGAGTTTTGTCCAGGTGCGTGGCAGGTCATAGCATTGAAGGCCTAGGTCGTGCCTGAGGTGGGCATCGGGTCACAATCGTACACGTGACGACGGAGGTGTTCCTTTGCATTTGGTGCAGAGGATTGGTCATTCAGGTCAATTTTGGTGGGGAGTCGAGCTTAGCCCCTAGTGGCGGAGGAAGCTTTGACGCGGGCTGGCCTCGGATTTGCTCGCCTAGGTAGGAGAATTCCTATCATTGAACGCCAAGGGCTTACTGCTTAAGTAGGTGTTTGGCAAGGGCCCATTCAGTGACAGGTCAAAAGGGTGCCTTGGCTAGGAGTGTACCTCAGCCAGGAGGGTACCTCGACCAAGAGGGTACCTCGGCTGCTGTGGGTTGTTTGTCATGTTGTCGGTTTGCGGTTTCTATGCGAGGAGGGCAGCAGACATAAAGTTGTAGGCACCCGGGCTGACGTTGCCTCGAGCTGAGGGATGGGCACCCATCACCCAAGGTGATGATGCTTTAAGGCGTGGAGGGGCCACCGAGGTGCGGTGCCCGAGGTGGAGGCAAGCGCTATCCATGGTGATGGAACGAGGTGAGCTTTGATGGTCCTCGGCGAGCCAAGTTGTCAAAGAGGTTGTCGAGGTCTGAGGCCCTTTCTAAGTTGCCCAACATGGAAGTTTTTGCATATCTTGTGACTTTGTCGCAGTTGCATTTCTTTCGTGTAGGGGTCGGTGCCCCCTTTGGAGAGATCACAAGTTGTAGAAATTCCATAACTCAACAACCCATTTGCTCATACACCCATGGGGTAAGGCTGGGGCCGAGTTTCGTCGCCGAAAATACATGGCCCTCTTCCTTAGTGAGAAGGAAAAGGAGGTGCATGCCATAGCTCTCCTAGCTGCCCTTCCCATGGAGGACAAGGTACGTGAACCTATGCACAACTAAGGCTACATGGAGCCCGACCGACGTTGTGAACCGCCTTGGTCTCAACGAGGTGGAGTTGTTCCCTTCAGCATATCTATTCTGCCATGAATTGAGCCGAGCGAAGGGCCGATGCTAGCTCTCGAGCCTGGATGAGGACTTGCTCGCTTGGAGGGTCTCCCCGAGGCCAAAGCCAAAATCAAGGGCCGACACATCAGCTATGGCCGAGGTCCAATAGGTCCCCGGTCAAATGGGGTGAGTAGGCGTATGATCTCCAGCACGTCGTATGCCTTGGGGCTGACGTTTGGTCCAGGCGTGTAACCTTGGTAAAGGTTGTATGTGACAGCCAACCAGTCGTTCGAGGGCGTGTGGCTACTAGAGGGTTGTATGTCGCAGTCAGCCAGTCAACCGTTGCCAACTGGAGGGTCGTGTGCCTTTGACCGATGTCCAGTCCGAGAGTGTAACCTTGGTAAAGGTTGTATGTTGCGGAAGGTTACTTGGTCGAGACAAGAACATATACACTGAGGGTTTGAGGCAAGGTGAGAGAAACTTGCTTTATTACAAGGTGTTTACATGGTTGGTCGAGGCCGAGCTCTTGTGGTTACATGGACCGTCTTGCGAGCAAGCACGAGGCCAAGGTGCTGATGACTGACTACAATCGTAGCTGCTGGGGCGATGTGATGAAGCCAGTGTCAACGTACTGCTTCATATATCCGTGGCAGATGAGAGACTCGATCTCGTCCTAGAGGTCCTAACAGTTCTTGGTGTCGTGGCAGACGCCGCGGTGAAACGTGCAGTATTTTGCTGGGTCACCCTTCTTGGGGTTCCTCTTCCTATTCTCAAGCCATTTCATATACTCCTCCCCTCTTACTTGGATGAGGATCTATGCTCAGGTGGAGTTGAGTGGCATATACTGGTCATAAGATGAGGTCGACAGCTTCTTGTTGTCGCTGTGGCCGTCTTCATGTCGGTGGTCACCATGGCCGCAGTCAGCCTCTCTACCTCGGTGCTTTCCGATCGAGACTTCCTCTGTAGCGATGTACTTTTGTGCCCTTTTCAAGAATTTTATCTTGGTACTAGGCGGTGTCTTGGCGACAAAGCACTTGAGGGCCGACCTAGGGAGGAGGCCTTGGATCGTTGTGTGCATGGAGACCATGGGGTCGAGGTCGCTGACCTCGAGTTCTTCTTTCTTGAAGCAATCGATGTAGGACCATAGGCTCTCACCGTGTCGCTGTTGGATTGCCATAAGCGAGACAACACTCTTTAGCATTGTAGGCTGTTGATGAAGTGGGCAAGGAAGAGGGTTGTGAACTAGTCCTAGTAGCTGATGGAGAAAGGCGGGAGCCCAGAAAACCAACGACGAGCTACCCCCTTGAAGGTCGCCTAGAAAGCTTGGCACATCAATGCGTTGTCGGTGATCTTCTTACCGCATCAAACTATGACTGCAGGTCGGTGATCTTCTGGCCAACAGGCACCTCGGCCTCGTCTAGGTCTCCTCAGAAGTGAGACGGGCCGGCCTTGCTTCTCGGGTTAGTGGATGTGAATGCTTCTCGATTCCTTTTGTCTTGTCGGTCTTCGAGGTAGTTTCGGAGGTCTGAGGCGCGAGGTGAAGGTGGTGCTTCTTGTTGGCAGTGGTGTCCCTGACTTCGACAGTGGTCGCGAGACCGTATGGATTTGTTCTCCCTTTGGCCCAGAGGTTGGAGGGTTCCCGGTGGCTCAGATTGGCCGAGGACAACATAGTAAATTTGCTTAACTTCCTAGACGGGTTGGTTAGTTGAAGGAGCTAAGGCCTGCCAAGGCCGAGGCCGAGGGCTAGGGGAGGTGCACTGTGGCTAAAGGCTGGCGAAGGTTGACCGAGGTTGGCCAAGGTCTATTGAGGTCAGCTAAGGTCGGTCGATGTTGAGGCCGAGTGCTTGCAAGGAAGGGAACGCCATAGGCCCCAAGTGATAACCCGAGGTGGGGACTTTAACGGTCAAGTTAGTGAGGGCATAGCAAAGAGGGCGGGCAAGGTCTGAGGAGCTCGGACAAAGTCGCCAGAAAGCTAAGGAGCAAGAGAATTTGGAGAGATGAAAGTCTGGTGGCCAGAGAGAGACCCTTTACCTTTGGGGAGGCATGCCCAATTTATACTTGAGGTCGCCCATAGGTGGACACATGGAGATGGTCAAGTCAAGATGCGACTCGGCCCTGATAGGGCGGTCATCTGAGCTCGCCGCGTGGGACACACCATTAATCCCGCGCTAGGCGCCAATCTCCGCCCGTGCTGATTGACACGCCAGTGACCTACCAAAAGCGCCTACACCAGAAAGGAAAATGGGAAAATGGTCATCGGTGCCATAGCCTACATGTCAAAAAAAATGAAAAACACCAACAGAGGAAGCCATCGTATTGTCGCCGAAATCTATTATGGCCGGTGAAATCGTTGGTTTCCGGGGAGATCCGTTTGAAAGCAATCAAGTAACCGAACTACCACCTCTCATTCTCCCTCTGTTTTGGTTGTTACCTCATCGGTTTTAAGCTCTCCGTCACCTTCTCAGACCCAACTACATCCCCTATGGTTCGATCCCTGTCTCCAGTTGGGTAGCGCCATTAACTGGGAAAGCCAAGGCGAGTAACCATGACGAGAACCAGACAGGAAATAGAGAGACCCAAGAGCAGAGCCAGTGAGCCTTGTTCTAATTTTTCTTTTTTATCACAAAGAAAAAAATGTCGATGTTTGATGTGGAGAGCTCGTATTTCAAGTTTTGGGTTGGTTTCTGAGTATGAGCGGAGTGCTTAAATGGATGTGAGCTCTCCTTGGAGGAAGAGGAGGAGAGATCAGAGTCGTAAATTTTCATTTTATTTTTCTTTTATTGAATTGTTCCGGTAATGTAAATTTGTGATGAGAAGAATTGATCGGTAGCTTTTTTCATAAATCTTTTTCCTCTGGTTTTTACGTTTTTGAGTTCAGAGACTGAGGATTAAGAACACTGGGTTGCAATGAAGCAGATTTTCCCCAAGATAGAGTAAAGAGATATTGATTTCTGGTACGATCCTAGCTTTTAAAAACTACTAGAAACAGAAACTTGTCTGTTTCACATTAAAACTGCAGAAGCCATTTGATTGAACCACCGACCATTCAGCCAGGCAGATTTGTCTCTTACAGTGAATAATTGTAGAAGCCCAGATTTGTGTTTATGACAAACAGAGATCAGCTATTCAGAATGGTAGAGATGATTGATTTTAATCCAATGGCTGGTTGGAGATGGGTCTAAAAATAACTGTTGAAAGAGAGAAGAATTCCATTCAACCGAGATTCTTGTTTTTTCTCACAGAGGCAGAGGAGGAAGACGAGCAACAGTACCACTGCCCTTCTTTGATATTTTCCCCCCAAAAAGCTATCTTCTTTAGCTATTATACGAAAACATTATTTTTTATTAATATTAAGGGTAAAAATTACTCTTATCTGCTAGAAACCCTATATTCTTTATACAAATATAAACATTTTTATACCATACCCTTGACAAGAACAGCCGATGAGGCATTGAAAATGTTTCCTGATAAATAAAATGATTCCAGATTACGAAATATTTGGCATCCTGCTGGTAAAGGTGGTACACTTTCAATATTACCAAGTTCCAATTCTTTGACATTGGTGGCTTTGCATAGATCTGCACACGTTAATACCAAATATTTTATTAAAGTTTGATAAACAATAGATGATCATTTTAACTTTTATTTAGTGTTGGTACTTTGTACAAGTAAAAGGTTGATCTTTTTTTTATGTTATTAGTAATTAAATAACATATCATATGAATTTTCACTAATTCACTGGATGCGGTGCTTCCCTTTAACCTCATAACCTGTGTATATAGACATACCGTTCCTGCAGAGTATCACCCTTGAAGTGGAGATCTTTAATCCCAAATATTGTAGAAGAGCCATTCATGTCCAAAAGGCAAGGGGGTAAGCTTTCATCAGTTAGATCATCTACACTTAGATAAAGTGACAGGTTTTTCGCTCCACAGAATGCTGAGACAACACCAAAAACAAAGAGAAAACAGAGTATGATTGTCGGATTCAAAAATTATACTCTTTGGCTCTTTGCACATGCATGCACTTAATATTCCAAATTAACTTACTTGCTCCTTTTATATAAATTAATTCAGTGGTAACTAATTAGAGCTTATTTGTTGCCACGTGTCTGCGTCATATCATAATTCATGTTGTTTAATAAACGATTACCTGTTAATAGCGAAGAGGAGATATTGCGTTGATTCCGAGCCAAGTAGGGAAGAGCACGTCCTAGGCACCCAGGGAGTCCATAGTTGCTAAGATTGTTCCCACTCACATCTAGATACTTGAGATTGTGCAATTCACATAATGCTGTGGAATCCAATAAATTGATATATAAATAATATTTTCGTCAATAAAGCATGGATTCTCTTCCAAAGCGTTATTTCATATGTTGGCAAAATTAATTAAATTCAACTATTTGATTGTGATTTGTGAACCACCTAGTGTTATTTATTCTGGAATTTCTATCTAAATCTAATCCATGCACAGAGGTCTTGGTGTGAATAAATAACTAAAAGAAAAGAAATAATTAATACATGTAAATACAAGGTTTTAAAAATTGATCTAGAAATGGAATCGTTCTAGCTATCAGTTTTCGGGTCAGTAGTGATTCAGCCATTCGGATTTAACGGTTCGGAGAGTTTACATAATTAGGGTAAATATTTATATGAGATTTGAGAAAGAAAGAAAAAAGAGATATCGGCTGAGAAAAGAAATAGAATTGGAGAACAAATATTGTCCGCTGAGAAAGAAAAAAGGAAGAAAGAAAGAAATGAAGGAGAAAGGAAAAAAAAAAAAAGAAGAGAAGGGAAAGGAAGGAGAGGAGGGAAAGGAAGAGGAGAAATTGATTCAACACTCACCAGCGACGGTGACAAGAAGGTGGTGGCAACAGATGCAGATCTGAGCTCTGAGTTCTCGGACCTCAGATCTGACATCAATTTCTCTAAAACACATGTAGTCCTCTTCTTCTTCTCTCTCTTTGTGCTGGATCTCAGATCTGAGTTCTCCTCTGTGTAACTTTATATTGTGAACCGCTGTTTAGGTTAAATGAATCAACGGTTCGACTGTCCGAATCAGCGGTTTTCTAATGAAGTTAATAGTTTTTGACCCAAGAACAGGTTAGGGGTGAAACAGAACCAATTGCTTGAATGATTTCCAGGCTGAATGGTTTGGGCGACAACGGTTCAAAAACATTGTACAAATATTAGATGATACAGGCATGTAACTAATTAATTAGTAATTACCTTGTGGCATGATCCAACCTCCAATGTTGTTGTCAGCCAAATTTAGGGATTGCAAGTGTTGTAAGTGAGTAAAAATGGTAGCATTTGGGTACCATTTTTCTACTCCTGCATCTCCTAGTTCATCAGAAATATCAATTCCAACCACTCGGGATGTTGAAGAAGATGAGTCATCACACTCCACCCCTTTCCATTCACAGCAATTGTCTCCAACCCAATTATTTGCATGATTGTTGTGGTTGAGTGAATCTTTGAACTGTAAGAGAGCTAATCTTTCCTCCTCCATACACCCTTGAACTTGGCACCCCCAAATGCACAAACACAAATAATAATAGTAGATAACAAGGCCCACGTACAACGTTCCCATGTTGCAGCGAAGCCAATATCTAATGTCCATACTGGGATTTGCAGACTAGAAAAAAGGAAGAGGGAGCAGTGAACAGATGAGAGAAGACCCCTCTAGCTAGCAACCTATCTCGAATTATAGGTACAGCAGACATCAATTGTTGTAAACGCGCATATGCCAAGTCATTATCTTTATTAGGGATTGGGCTCCAGGAAATTAACTGTATAATTGGATATTGAATAATTCAGGTTTCGTTTGTTGTAGAATGACAGGATGAGAGTCCTGTAAACTATCAGCATTTAATATGGGGCCTCCTTATTGAATTCGATATGAACCCCATAAATGAGATTTCATTCAAAAACCTTGTATTTATAGCTTCTGTAAATTTTCATAGCTTCTGAAATTTTCATTCAAAAACCCCATAAATGAGAGTCCTGTAAACTATCTATAAAAGTGTGAATTTATTTATAGCTTCTGAAATTTTCATTGGACAACAAAAACCTCCTCTCTAAAGTGAATTGAAAAATAAATAAAGGCAAAATTGTTATTTTATATCTTCATTTATTAATTAATTGATAAAAGGACATAAAACTATTTTTCTTCAATAATTGGAAAATAAGATATAGCGAAAATGTCATTTTACACTATTCATTTAATGGTTTTTTATATTTATATTATTATTAAAATTGTGAATAATGGTGTGGAACTTTTATTTGTCTAAATTACCCCAATTTTTTTTTTTTTAATTTGGTCATTGTCTAATTTTAAGAACAGAAATATAATTTGAAAAGCTACTTTTCTATTCATTCAAATCCCTCTCTTTAAGTTTCATATTTAAAGTATTAACTTTTACAAACAATCATTGAATCCTATTCTTGACTAGAATACTCTTATTTTTTAATTTGGTCCCTCTCTAATTGTGAGGGTACAAAACGTAATTTAAATTACTACATTTCTCCTCATTCAATTCCATTTCATTAAATCTTATTTTAGAGTATTAACTCTTGTTTTTCAATGAATCTTGTATTTAAGATATTATTTTCACAAAATAAAAATAAATAAGTTCTATCTTATATCTATACATGCATTCAATACTTTTAAATTTTAATGGTATAAAATACATGTTTTTTAATAATTACTCAAAAGTGGAACTGTTTTTCCATCATAGTGGTGAATAAGTAATTCAAAAATTGGGCACATCTCCAATGTTTTATATACATTAATGAAATCTAATAAAAAAGAAAGAAAAACTAAAGAAGTAACTTGTCCAACTTTGGAATAGATTGTGATGTATATAATTGGAATACATATTTACTCTTCATATATATATAGTACAAAATCCTTGCATGAAAATATAAGACTCAAATATAATAGCTGAAGCTCAGTTTGGAAGGAGTATAAATACAAGTATGTAGAGTGTAAAACATTGTATTTTGTATTATTTTGAATGTATTTGTACTGTACATATTTGAATTTCCAAACTTGAAGGGAAATTCAGGTAGAGTAATCCATTAAGGGTATTTTTTTTCTAAGAAGAGTATTTGATATGTTTTTTAGGTGGATTCTGCAATTCATGTGGCATGTACAGGTATTTTTACTAAAGGACATTTTTTATGGTCGCCTTCAGTATTGACAATAATGAGGCCTGATATTGTTTACTCTATCAACCAACTTAGTCAGTTTTTCAATCAGCCTCTTGAAGCTCATTGGCTAGCAGCTCTCTGCATCTTGCACTACCTGAAAGGCACTGTTGGCTTTGCAATTTTATTCTCTGTTTCCAGTTCTCTCTCTCTCTCTCAATGCCTACAGTGATAGTGATTGGGGTGTTTGTAGTTTTACTTGACGTTCCATCACAGTTCTTGGAGAGCAGCCCTATCTCATGAAAGTCCAAAAAGCAATATCCACTGTGGCTCGTTCATCTATGGAGGTGGAATATCATTCCATGGCTAGTAAAAACTGTGAACTTCAATGTTGCATTGTCTACTCTAAGATTTGGGTGTTCCCTTCTCTTCCTCCTCAATTTTATGTGACAACAAGGCTGTCTTGTCCATTTCCACCAATCCGGTGTTTCATGAGCGAACAAAACACATCAAAATTGATTGCCATTTCATTAGAGAAAAACTCTAGTATAGACTCATTTGACCATTTCACATTTCCTCCTCACAACAAATTGTAAACGTGTTTACAAAGGCACTTGGTTGGGAACAATTTCAGGAGCTCATCAGCAAGTTGGCTCACACCATTTTTTCGCCAACTGGAGGGGGAGTATTAGAGGCATTTTCTAACAGAACACTAACACTTACCATTGAGTTAGGAGTTATCTGATATTCATGTTGTTGTATTTATCCAACTTAGTGTTTATCTTTCCTTTTCCTTCATATTTTCTTTTACTTCTTGCATATAAACACCTGTACTTCCTGTTATTGCACATAAGTTTTCTATCAATATCAAAAATCTCTCATAAGTACTTATCACTCTGGAATGAATAGATTTGCTCAAGTCCATTTCAAACTAAAAATTTTCCATGTAAGTTTCCATAGACCACTGCCTGAATGTTATATTTAGCTATTTTAATTTTGCAGGGGGCGGTCTTGGGAGGAACACCATGTCACCACCTTCTTGTCATAGTGGCGGCAATAGTCTTGTGTGTTCTTTAGTGTGGATGAGAAATTGGTGGGCGTGGACTAATCCACACCACACCCTATGGCAGGGACCAATCCACACCACACCTTAGTCCACATCTGTTCTAAACTATGGACAAACTATGTGGATTGGACCAATCCACCCCTATAATGGCATTCTGTAGTGTGGTGTGGACAGTCCACACTACACTTTTTTGATTCCATGTATCTCATGTACATGGAATGAATGATATACATAGTTAATCATAAATATCTAATTTTGGCATTTTGTATGATAAAGATTTTAAAAAATGCATCAATGAATTAATATTAACTAAAAAATATCAATTTTTTTATAAAATAATAGTAAAATAATAAAAAATTTATAAAATATATATTAAATATTTAGAAAATATTATTTCATTGATAAAAACATTAAAAAAATATAAAAATTAAAAAATTAAGTAAGATAATTAATATTTTATTGACAAAAATATTAAAAACAATATTTAAACAATTGATAATAGAAATTTTTGCAAAATAAGCATGGCATCTAATGATTAATGCAAACTAATAATCCATTGATTCTTGCACTAGTTGTAAGGCAAGCATAATATCAAAATATTGTTTAATTGGTCTCTTACAATGGTGCATGGATAAACCACCACACTTAAAACTAGTACTTATAGTACTAAAATAAATAAAAGGACAATCATTATAAGAGAGATAAAAAGAAGAATGCAAAGTATGTTGCACCCACAGCATGTAAGCAGCATAATATCTAACTTGTGGAATTTGGTATGCCTTCATACTATGTGTTGATGATGTGTTGTATAATCTCTGTGTGGGGCTATCTGATCATCATATTCAATTAATTTATCTATCCACTAAAATGAACTTGAGTGATTCTTCCATTTTGGGCAACGAAAAAACCATCGTCCATAATTGGCATTGGTTTTTGCCATGACTAATTCTATTGGTCCGTTACTGCATAAGCACATTGGGGCGCGCATATGTCCAGCCATCACTGTACAAATTTATCAATATAAATACAAAAATGAGATAGGATTACTTCATACAAATAAAGAAATGAAATCAAATATACCACAAATTCAAAATGTTTCAAACATATCCAATATGTTAACCATATTATCTGAAATTCAAATTAAAACTAAAATTGGAACGGTTTAATTTCATGTTGTGCCCACATCATATTTGCTATATTGTCCTTAGCATTGTTTATTTGTATATTTTCTTGTTCATCCTCCTCATTAGTATCACTCTCATTGGTGTTGTATGAATCCTCACTAGTAATGTCTTCAACTGCCCATTGATTGATGTCTTTGTCCTGAATGGGTTCCTACTTTATAAAATTGTAGGTAATGAAGCATGCCATTACAATGTATCATTGCATTCGTAAGTCGAAAGATGGCATACTCTACAAGATAGGAAATTTTCCCTTTAGTGTCCCAAAACACCTCTCTATAACATTTCTTAGTGATGAGTGCCTGTAATTAAATAATTCCTTCTTTGATCGAAATCTTCTTCTTTGCCCTCTATAGTCATTTAGATGATATCATTCACCGAAATAAGGTGTTAGATGTCCAAGCCCACCAGGAAATATAGAATCAACAAGATAATATTTTCCTACAAAATCCATATGCAATTGAATGCATTGGACTTGGGTAAATAAACATATAGTAAATATCAAAATAAATTATTTGTAGGAGGATATGGGAATTATAAATGTGGTCAAGAAATAGCTTCTGCAAATACCCTAGAATCATGGGCAGATCCTTCCCAGCCCACGTAAACAAAAGTAAATCTCATGTCGAACAAGCATATAGCCATAACATTTATGGTGCAACGTAACTTCCTCCCCCTATATGAAATTTTCTCGTCCAAATGAACCCACACACTTATATGAGTACCATTAATTTCCCCAATACAGTCCTAAGTGGTGACATATATGGTCAATATATGACTGATACATGACATATATAGATATATAAGACACCAATGGAATACTTGAAACCATGGGTAATATTTCTCCAAATGATTGATATGTGGTTGCATAGCTTCAAATGATGGTAGTTGAATCAACTCTCTCCCGAGCTTACAAATTGCTTTACAAGTCCTCCTAAAGTGAGTACTAATAGTACTTTTAGAGTGTTGGAACCTATTTGCAACCAACCGATATCTTTCATTGTGACCAACTGCCATAAGGAAAATAGCATGTGATTCCTCCACTGTGATATTTCGACTATTGGATAAAAAGCTATGATCTCTCAAGTGATTAGCAAAATTTTTAAATACATGTCCTTTCATCCGATATGTGTCATACACTTTGTCAAGATGCTCTAAGTTGTATAAACACCTCATGACAAATACATGTCCACTCATCTTTGATGTGCAATACGGTTGTTTAACAAAGTATTTACTATAGTATCTTACCACTCCACTAACGAAAGTAAGTTCAA